GGGGGGTGTATAGACACTTGGACTAGAAGTACTTGACGTAATGCTTCAGGATTTACAAAAAATAATGATAACTTGCACTACGCCACGCACGCACGCACACACACACACACACACACACACACACACACACACACACACACACACGCCAACAAAGACACACAGAGGGCATATATATAGGCCTTATGGACACCCCTGGAAAAATTTTAAGTCAGCTATGGCAGTCACCTTGGCGATTTGCTGTTGATCCCGATTTTTTTCACCAAATTCCGATTTTTTCTCCCTGAGATCCAGATTTTGAGGTTTCATAGAGTGGCAGGTCTGTTTTCTTTTACCCTAGTGGGGCAGGCTCCCCCTGGAACCCCCCGATTGGTCCAAAGCATGTCTATCTCGGTTAAAAACAATCCTACAATATTTTAAAAACTATTAATTTGCAACGGAAATGAAGTTGATATTCGTGTTCAGCGCCTTTAGTAGAAGGAGAGAGAAGGAGTAGCTAGATTTAGAGAGAACTTTCGGGCAAAACAAAAAAATGGCGACTGGTAAGTAAAATAGTTGTAGCATCTTTGTAGACGACCAAATTAATATACTTTTGTGCTATAACATCATTTTTTTCTAAGTTGTTTTTGTCAATTTGATCATCCACACACAGTCGATAGAAAGTATTCAGAATTTAGGAAGTTTCACACCAAATGAGAATAACCACCGCTGGCAAGTCTCACTCGAGGTGAAAGGTCTCTCGTATTTTTTAATACCAGTCATTTCGTCACACCGGTTCAGTCAAGACGTCACAGTCATCTCGTCGCACCACAAATCCACAAGGTTGAATGGAGATGGGTCTTTTCGTAGCACACCTCTGCAAACATCAAACGCGCTTTGTCATGGCAATCGCAAAATCGGGGGAGGGTTGGGGTGTGTGTGGAAGGACAGGGGGTTGGAGTTGTCGTGCCTACCTGATCAGCTACACTACACTGTTCATAAATATCATGTATTGACAATATATGTGAAGCGTGCTGACAAAATGAGTTACTTCTCGGATTCGAGCCCTATGGAAATAGATACGTCACCCTTTTAGGTGAAGTTTTTACAATTTATAAGTATTAAATAATAAAAGACATGTTATATTTAAAGAATATGGCATGAGTAGAAAATCTACTATTTTGACCCTAGTGTTGATTTTTGGCCAAGATCTCCATTTGTGGATTACTAGAAGTAACTCATTTTGTCAGCACGCCTCACATATATTGAAATCTATCGCGTCAGATCAGCAAAGTTTTACGGTATTATTATTGATGAAAGGTGTGATTGGCAAGATCATATAGTTCTGTTAAAAATAGATTAGCCAATAGAAATGTTTGGTTGCAATTTTGCTAAGACTAAGAGCTAGACCCTTACTTTCAAATATAGCCTTACTAACTCTTTACCAGACAATTGTGTGCCTTTATTTTTAAACTATTGTTCAACTGAACGTGTAGACGAAGATTTGATAATTTACACATTAATTATAATTTATAACTGTTATAAATTAAAAAAAAGCTTTACTTTAGGCTGATACATCAAAACTCTCTAGCATAACAATTTTGAAGAGACATAAGCAAAGTCGTTGCGTCACACATAATTGGGGTGTGATGAAATGACCGGTTACCGTATTTTTATTCTCACTCTGGGTGAGAATAACCGCTTCCAATGACAAAAGACAAAGATTGGTGACAGGACGGTTTTTACAATCCGTCTGTACTGTTTGTCATCAATGATTGAAAGTGACTGATTTCCTCTTCACAGTCAATATATATATGTGAAATATTTGTTTTGAGGCATTCTAGGACTAGTATCTTGACATAAAGGCAGAGGAATTAGTAACCTATGACAGGACGTGGTGGGACTTAACAGTTGCAAGACCTGAGGCTGAGGCACTGATTTCTTCATCCAGAGCAATCTTTGCCAAAGCTAGGCCTTTAATGTGATGCACTACAGTAGTGAGTAGTGACTGGGCTATATTAAAATATTAATATGATATAGGTCTTAGGACCCGTATGCCAGTTTTGTTGAAGGTCTGCGCTATGTACAGTCTACTGTACTGTACTGTAAGTCCTGCCGGATCGACCGCCATCTATTGTGATCTAGGCGCGTCTAGTGTAGGGTAAGTCCTGCCTGATTGTCAGATTGACCATAGCAGCGATAGCGTGGAGGGTATATACATATATAGATCAATAATGGTGACGTTTGCATTTGGGTGTATGGCTCGATTGCTTTGTATTGCGACATTGTTTATAGCTTAGAATTTTATGGTGGTAAATGTACTGATTGACTAGTATGTCGCGACAGTAGGTGACACCAAGTGGGACTATTTTCGGGAAATCAAAGGGGCCACGGGTAC